ACATTTCTCCTCTTAATCTAGACAGTAGGAGACAAAAGGAAAAAATTCGGCAGCATAAGCAGTACAAAAGTGAAAATTGGACTGAACAGCCTCCTAGAGAAAGAAGTCAGTAGCATATACAGTTCAAAAGTGCAAAATTGGGTGCTGCCACATCAGTTAAACCACCAAAAGAATACTTGGACAGCAATGGTGAATCATGCCCAAGAGTCTGAATTTTGGTCCCACACAGGTGAAGTTTCAGGATACGGAAAAGAAGACAAGTGTGTTTTTTTCGAGTTCGGGAACGAAGAAACAGAGGATGGAGTACCAGGTTTGGGTGTTCAATACATCATGGTAAATAGATTCAAACTCGAGGGCAAGTTTTCTTCAAGTAGGAGGGTTCGATGCAAATAATTTATGCTGTTTTGGGAAGTGATGCAGTCAATATTTTCTTGAAAAATGTCTAGTCAAAGTTTATTAAGTAGTAATTATGGCGTAGAGTATGAAAATGTCATGGAAATAGTAGAAGCTGTTATTAATGCTCCACGGGCAGCCAAAAAGTCAGTCTACAGAAGTGAAGTGTCTTTAATAGTTTCATTATAAAAGGGACAGCGCTCTATATATCTGTGGTAACCATGCCTTTATCAATATACTCTTTCTTACTGTTGTGAGCAGACTCTGTATTTCTTTCTGTTTGCTTCAAAATATAAACATGCTAAACTAAGGGAAAGAAAAACTATAAATTTTATCCATATTAAATGCATCAAGAGCGAAGATTTAAGGATTTTAGTAAAAGATGATGAAAGTAAAGAATAATGGAAAAGGTATTTTGAGAAACTGTTCAAATGAAAATCAGCTAGGTATTTTAGGCTTAGAAAGATAGTAACTTTATGGATACCATGATTTCCGTAGGATCAAGGATTGTGAGATTAAAAACGTATTAAGGAACATGAAATTAAAAACAGTTTTAGGCCTGGATGGAATTCCAGTTTTGGTTTAGAGTTTAGGGGATTCTCTTGGTTAGCGAAATTGTTTAATAAGAGAATAACCAAGAGAATGCTTGATGAGTGGTGCAAAAGTATATTAATACACATATATATATAAATGAGTCATATTATGAAACTTCAGGACAGGGCATACAAAGTTGTAATGATTTCTTTGTATTAAATTAACGAGTCATATTATGAAACTTCAGGAGAGGGATTCATCAACGACTAAGATGGGAGACTGAAGTACCGGAAGAGAGTATGCCAGTCGATGACTTGTCCAGTTTGTGGAATTGAGCCAGAATCTGTAGCGCATTTATTGGGTAGGTGCCACAGAGCTAGTGTTGTGTGGAAGATATCAGTTCTAAGAATTGCAGAAGTTCAAGTGGTACATGGTCAATGGTGGAGGTCACAGGTTGAGCAGTGGGATACATGTCCTAATACTTGGGTATTAAAAAGTGTGGCAGCTTCTATTTGTTGGCAATTATGGAGAGCTAGAAATGATTGGATTTTTCTTAACAAATGATGGAGTGAAAGGGACATTGTGACTTCAGCAGAGGCCATGTTTTGGGAGTTTGCTGAGATATTTATGGGTAAAAATTTTCTGGTGTTCAGAATTTTGTTGCTCAAGAGAATGGAATTCCAGGTAATCTGATCTCGAGTGTGGTGTGGAGAGTCCCTCCAGTGGAGTTTGTTAAAGTAAATGTTGATGCTGCGTTATGTTCAAAGTCATCAAAGTATTTTTTTTTTTTTTTGGGGGGGGGGGGGGGGGGGGGGGGGGGGGGGTGTTGGCAACGGGCAACTGTGGAGTTGGAGTTGCGCGATCAGGCCGGGTTTGTGTTACGAGTGGCCACTTTCTTCCATTCTTCAGTGACTGATCCTTCCCTTGCTGGAGCCTTAAGGTTGAGAAAGGCAATTTCTATCATTATAGAATGGGGCTTTGAAAGAGTTATTTTTGAGGGAGATGCAGAAGCAGTAATGAAGGCAGTTAATTTCTCCAGTATGGTGCCGATGAGTATTGCTGCAGTGATCGAGGATATTCAAGCCTGCCTTGAAGAGCATAGAGATTTCTCGGTTTGCTTCGTGCCCCGTGGTGCCAATGGGGTGGTTCATCGGTTGGCTGGGGGCTTAAGAGGTAGATTAGAGAGAGTTTTTGTGTGTGCTATTCCTCTATGTATTCAAGACAATGTGGCTGGTGATGTAAGGGGTGATCCCAAAATTTGCTTCCATAAAGTCTTGCTTTTGATAAAATAAAATAAAAAATAAAAAAGAAATGTAGGAAATTCAACTTGGATTCATAATGGGGAGGTAAAAGATGGGAGACTATTTACATATTAAGGAGACTAATGGGAAGATATAAAGAGAAGAAGAAAGACCTCCATATGGTCTTTACTCTTTACTAATTATGAGAGAGCCTAAGATAGAGAACCTAGAGATCTAATATGGAGGGTCTTAGAAAATAAAGAAGTCGCAAAGGGATATATTAACAAAATAAAGGATGTCCATGATGGATGTGTAACTATAGCTAACGACTGTGGGGGAAACAAGTGAATTTACAATTACTCAAGGCTTCTTCCCTCAAAGGTCAACATTAAGCACGTACCTTTTCACCTCAGTTATGGAAGAGCTAACAAGACACTTGCAGATGAGATTCCATGGTATATGTTACTTGCAAATGATATTGTGTTCATTAATGAGACGAGAAGGAGCGAATGTCAAATTGGAGATTTGAAGGAAAGCACAAGAATTAAAAGGATTTAAAATAAAGCTGAATATATTAAGTGTAACTTTAGTAAATCAAAAAAATACAAATGAGGATGTGGTGATGATTGAGAATCAAGAGGTACAAGAGAGTGAACATTTTTGTTATTTAGGCTCAATTATCCATATGAAGGGAAAATTGGAGATGATGTTAGTCATAGGATCAACACAAGATGGTTAAATGGAGGAGTGCATCTAGTATATTGTGTGATAGTGTAACCAGCCAAAATTTAAAGAAAAATTATATAGAACTACTAGGCCAGCCACACTCAATGTGGCAGAATGTTGGGTAGTTAGAAAACAACATATGCATAAGGTGAGTCTGGCGGAAATGCGAGTGTTGAGATGGATGTGCAGCAAGACAAGAAAGGATAGAATTGGAATAAAACACATTCATGAGATGGTTGAAGTACCATCAAAATGAGAAATTCGGTTAGCATGGTTTGGACATGTGCATAGAAGACCTTTCAGTGCACCAGCTACAAAGAGTGACATGGTTACAATGAGTGTAAAGCTAGGAAATAGAAAACCAAAGTTAACATGGGTAGAGTTAGGAAAGAAAGATATTATAATATGTGATTTCAGTGAGACTATGGCTTTATATAAAGCGAAATGAAAAATATGATTCATGTAGTCGACCCCAAATAGCTGGAAAAGGCTTCGTTTCTTGTTGTTGTATAAATTAGGTTACATCTTTACCAAAATCATATATCCCCAAAGAGAAACTGAAAACAGAGAAACAAAGATCACTTTTTTCATAAAGTATGAAACACATACAACTACCCCACATCCCAACTGGGAATTAGACACGCATCTTTCCCTTTCGTGTGGAATGGAGCTCTTCAAATTATTTTTCTAGACTTAATAAGATTAGAATGGATGGGGGAGGTTTGGTCGATGATTATACAGGAATTGGGAGAATGGAGTCCCGTGGAATATTACATTTAGAAGTACAGTCCAAGGTTCAGTAGAAATAGAGAGCTGCTGGAGTTTGCATACAAGTAGCCAGCATAGTAGGTGGGAGAACGTGGTGACCACGGGCCTTTGATGGGTGCAGCTTTGAAGTTTGGTCATTCCAAAAAACAGTTATTGGGTTTTTTTTTTCTTAGTTGGTACTCACACACCCAAGCCTCCATTGAGGCTTGCACCCCTGACCTACCTTTGCGAAGTAGGGGCCTGATACCATTGGGCCATTGACCCGTAGGTGTTATTGGGTACTGTTAATGGGACATTCCCTTCAACAGTCACATGCGTTATCTTTTGGAAGGTTTTGACAAGGACATAGTCATTAACACAGATATATCATTTTTCTTTTTCTTTTTCATTTTTTCGATGGAGTTGTGTATTCCCCAGGTCAGTAGTTCCAAAAGATGAATGATTAAGTTTTGTCTTGGTGGGTAGAGTTCCGCCCCGCCCCGCCTTTCTCTTAATTCGTGCATATTTAGTGGTATAGAGCATATTCCTCTGGTCGTTGGAGATACCATAATGGCATAACTGATCCATTGGCTCCCCCCCGGTGACCAAACACACACACACACAAACACACATGTAACATAGGCTTCCAGTTCTAGAACCATCAATGATTGGTGAACCAGCAGATCCATTTGCAACCTCTTTGGAAATATTACGTGAATGGAATTTCTTTCCCATATTTGAAATACTTCGAACAGGTGCCAATAAATTATTCGGTGTTCTTTAATGGTTCCAGACACACATACACAGAGAGAGAGAGAGAGAGAGAGAGATTGATTTGAGCCTGTTTGCCTCTCTCAAAGAAAGCAGAGAGTGAAATTGAATACACTCCTCAGGATTCAAAGGTTTTCTGAATGAGATTTGAGAGCTAATTTTCAATTATATCAGGAATAAACCTGGTCTACCAAAAGCAATAATGGATCACACGGGTTGCCAGTCAAATTAGTGGTTTGAAAATTGACAAGTTTCTTTTGGGATGGTTTTGAAGTTATATGACCTATGAAGTTGGTTGGGTGACTGTACAATCATCTTGTCTGATACAGTTTTTAAAACATTAAACAAATGCAATTATTGCCAATACACATCAACATGGAATCATTCCTCATATCTAAGGAATTCTCTGTCCAATTCATTTGCCTTCGTGACACCTTAGGAGAAGTACTTGGAAGAAAGAATAGCCACAATAGTTGTGAGAATGAGAAGCAATGTCCTAATGACGGAATAGTTTCATCTCTCAATGTTAAAACAGGAATTCTTCATCAGATAAAAATTCACTTATACTTAATATTGTTAAATACATACCTTTGAAGAAGATTAACAAAAATGTGACAGCCACCAACTGAATTGACTTGCTCTAGGAAAGAAGCAAGCAGTGGTTTTTGGGAAACAGCACGAATAACAACATGTAAAACATCTTCAATACATGCCATATCCTGACTTGTCTCAAAAAAAGCAATAAGAGCTTTTATATCTGACACTGCAATGTGCTCCCTGCATATCACCAACATATTCTGAGTAAAGATTTGAAAAAGTGAACATAAAGATAAATCTGCAATGTCAGCATAAATATCACTAAAAAGGGTGGCAAAACAAATTAAGAAATGCATGCAGCTGATAGCAGAACTAACATACCTGAGACTCATTTCACCAAGACTAAGTAGGAGGAGGCGAATTTTATGTACTTCTTCTTCACAAGGTCTCTCTCCAATAACTTGTTTGGTTATGGGATGCACAAGAGGCCTGCCTCCAGTAGCATACCGACATTTTGGATTATCCCAGTAAAATTGGCGTATTATATCAAGAACACGAGGGAGCCTGCACAGACTCTTAAGCAACCTCGGATCATTATCAAATTGCTGGATGAGAAACATGTACAGCTCACGTTGCACCTTGTAGACAGTATAGACCCAAATAAGCGGATTAAGAAATATATTAGATATAGCTTCTTTCACGAGCAGCTCGAACAAGCCTGGATGGGAACCAAAGAATATTAATATATACACCACATGACTTTAGCCAACTGCGGTTAAGAACCAAATTTCAAGCAAATTAATTCAAACAAACATTTAACACTTCAAAAGAAAAAGAATTTATCAAATATACCACAATTTGCAACAACGTTGTACATATGTTTCAAAGCTGAAAGTGTTTCCAGATTAAGTTGCTGCGGTGGAACTGACTGCAGTAAGAATCCCAGTATTGAAAATCCAGAAAGGAGAAGCATTTGTTGCTGATTAGCTAAATTCTCATCTAGTACAGAAGCTATAAGTTCAATAACTTCAGCAGTTAGACGCTCTTTTGTGATTGGTGTAAGCAAAGTATCTTGTCCACTTTCTTCCTTTTCATACAAATCAGACTGTGTTAAAAGAGGAAAAAACACATATACACCCCCAACACAATAAATAATCTGTTGCAGCAAGCTTCTGGAACAAAGTTGTGTTCCAACCATCACAGCTGCTTCAAATGTACTCTTATCCAGTGCATGCTCCAGCATTGGCGAAACATTAAATAAAGTCCTACCATTACTAGCCTGTAAAAGGAAATCAATTTCCATAAATCTCTGAAGGCGAGACCAAAGCAAGCTTAATAAAATACATATTTTCATGAAAAGAAAGAGAACCTGTGCATTAAGTCCAAAAATGATTTTGGACGCAAGGCCGTCTTTGGCATCAAGAATTCCACCAGGCAATGGGTTCTCCGAATAAACTGCCATTTCATTATCAAGGAACGAATACATATAGCTTGGTCCTAAGGAATAGATACCCTGTACTTGATCACAAGTAAGAGCATCGCTAAACATATAAACTGGACCAATCTGACCAAGAAAAGGAGAAGAATCTTTGATGGTGTAAATAGCATTTTCTTCATCACATGGTGGCAAATTTATTCTTGTGCCGATTGTGCAACTAGTCAATGGCTCATTAACTTTTGCATATCTGAACCATTAAATCATGAAAGTCAGGGGGAATATTTTCATTTCAGGAGAAAGCAGAGAATTTTACAAGTTATTTTAAAAGCAAACAAGATTTATTTTGGAAGTGGCATAGCACCTGCATTTTTCAGATGAAACAAGAAATCCGTCCATATAACATCTCAATAAGCTACCCCCAGAAAATGCTCTACCAATGCTATGAGTAATACAAAGAAAATGCCATTTCTTTCTAAGAAGGGTAACATGCAGTGAAACACATTGTCGCTTCTGATTAATAGACTGCAAAAACAAGAAAAAGGAAGAAAAATGGCATTAATGGTGTGGAATGGTAAAGCCATTAGTCATAAGCTAAACAACACAGAGAATAAAGAGCTAGTATGCATAACGCAAAAATTGAAATCTGCAAGTAGATAGTATTTTGGAACTGCTGCATTCACGTACAGAAGACACAATAAAATCAGGAAAAAATTCCCAGACAAACATTACTTTTACCTCATAAGTCAGCTTGTCCTTCGCAAGGACAGCCAAGCACCCCCTTCCATTTTCTGTGAGAAAACTGAAAAGGCTCATTGTTCCAGTTCTAGGGAAATTTTCTATCCTGAGCCAACAGGAAAAAGAAAACCCCTTATACAAAGGCCACTGTACTGGCGTCTTAATTATAATACCCTGCAATGACAGGAAAGAAGAAAGACAAACAAATTATGTTCAAGTCAGGGTAACAAATTAAACTTGGTAAACGCATTCTAAGAAGATATCATAAAGATTTCCAGCATATAAAAAATAAAAATATGAACTTAGAGAATTTTCTTTTTTCTTTTTTTGCCCAAATAAATGATCCTTTAAATCACATTTTTAGAAAACTCCCCCTATTGCTGCGAAATTCTCCATTATAAATAACAGGGTAAAAAAAAAAAGCAATGGACAATCAGTCCTAGATGTGATGACGATATAGTGACATACTCAAACATAGAAGCATAAAGTTATAGTGTTATGATCAAACTGCAGAGAGAATTAGAATAATCACCATGAAAACTGTAAGATCTTATCTTCTCTAAAAATGTTCATCTGTCATTCTGAAAATTTCTTTCTTTTAGAATTTTCTACAGATGCAAAAAGATACTAATCATACTAGTGATTCTACAAATCATTTTCCATTTCCATGCCTCCTCATTGTCATCTCCAACCTGTCCAAGTAGTCTATTATCTTAAAAGTTTTAATAGAATAATACTTGTTCATTTGAGTTACTATTGCACTTAGCTCTCTACTGACTATTTATCCTCTGCAGTCTGCACTGATATGTTCCAACTCCTAACATGTCCCCCACTAATACAAAAAGTCTGGTGCATATCTAACGCACGGTTTAATTTCAAATAACGGTCATGTCCAACATGGTTATGGATCTAGAGAAAGTGGCTGCTACATACAACAAGTAATTCATACCAATCAAAACTGATAGGAAACAGAAGTATTTTATTTGTTTAAACAATGTCATAAGTTAAACCATGACTGCTGATAATGGGTGTCACAAACCAATAATGAAAGGATCCAAGAATACAAAAGACATTTTCCTATAGTTTTAGGTCTGAAATGCCATTTCCGGTGTGAAGTCACAGTTTATGGAAAATCGACACATTCTACATCAGGCAACGCCTCCAAGAGCAGCAAAAATATCAGACAATAACTACCTTTCTCTCCTTCAAAGCATCTGTCCCCCTTCCCCTGTTCCTATCTCAAGTTCCATATCAGTACACAAATCTTTGTTTCAAGTTTAGGCACAAAGGTTGTTGCAAGACAGAAAAAGGCGCTCAAAATGGAGAAATTCCAACAATCCATACTAAATTGCAGGATAATTGACATTTTCATTCTCCCAGGCCTCTCTCCAATTAGTTTGATTAGAAATAGTTCACTGAAAATCCCCAGGTGTTGCTCTCCAACCAATAAATCTTTTAATCAGATTCACAAAGGTGCCTGCTGATTTCAAGTCTTTGGGTATCTGCAGTATGCAGTATTACAGACTGGCCGGGGAAATTAAAAAAGAAGACCATAAAATCATTGCCAGCCCACATAACGAAAAAATATTAGAGAAAGATACATTACATACATGCTAAGAATAAACCACAAATACTCTATTAAAGGAAAACATTAGTCAGCAGGGGTGAGTAGAGAAAGCAACTTCTTATGAAGAAATTACATAAATGATAGCTATACCGACAATCAGATTCACATGAATATTTCAAAAGGAATAGCAGAGTTTGGTCATATGGCAGAGCAGAACACTTTTCTTTTAGCCCTTTGCCCCAACAAAAATGAACACTCCAAAAAACAGGTATTAGCTGCTTTTCCCTTTCATCAATTCCCCAGAACATTTTTTTTTTTATAAGTAAGATTGCATAAAAGAGCGTTCAAACAGGGAAAGAAGAGCACAAAATCAAGCAAAGGACCAAATAGGGCCCCTAATCTCCCCCAAAGATTGACAATTCCTCCCATAGACCCAACAAAAAAGAGAAGAAATGAAAAAGAATTTCCGTTTCCAATAGGAGTCTCCTCACCATTAAAGGATTTCTTATTCCTTTCCTTCCATAGGCACTACCACACGCATAAAGGCGCCACCCTCCAAAAGTCACGGCCATAGGAACCCATAGTACACCCTCTCCAAGCCTCAATCATGTTGAGCCAGGATCCAGGCATAACCTACTAAACTCCAAACAAAGCCAGGATCAATCCCCAGGTATAAAAGAGCGTTCAAACAGGGAAAGAAGAGCACAAAATCAAGCAAAGGACCAAATAGGGCCCCTAATCTCCCCCAAAGATTGACAATTCCTCCCATAGACCCAACAAAAAAGAGAAGAAATGAAAAAGAATTTCCGTTTCCAATAGAAGTCTCCTCACCATTAAAGGATTTCTTATTCCTTTCCTTCCATAGGCACCACCACACGCATAAAGGCGCCACCCTCCAAAAGTCACGGCCATAGGAACCCATAGTACACCCTCTCCAAGCCTCAATCATGTTGAGCCAGGATCCAGGCATAACCCACTAAACTCCAAACAAAGCCAGGATCAGTCCCCAGGTATCCCTAGCCAGAGGGTAATGCAACAGAAGATGATCAAACGACTCTTCATTCCTCTTGCACATGCAGCACCAATTCACCACAGTATGTCTCCTCCTCCTCAGATTGTCCAAAGTCAGAATCCTCCCCAGGACAGCTCTCCAAGCAAAGAAGGCCAACTTAAGAGGAGCCTTCATGCGCCAAATGGCTTTCTATGAAAAAACAATCCTCGGCCCATCTAAGAGGGGCCTATAAAATGAGGGCGCATCAAACCTCCCCTGAGGAGATAACACCCACACTGTTATCAGCAACACCACCCACCACCTCCTCGAGATACAACATCTCCAAAAGACTTAGAAAATCATCCACCTCCCAGTCCCAAAAATGCCTCGAAAATCGCACATCCCATGTCCTCCAGCTATCAAGCCGATAACAGTCAACCACCAAGGCACACGCCTATCCAATGCAATCCGGAAAAGTCTAGAAAAAGAGCATGCCAACGAACGGTCACCGCATCAAGAGTCCTCCCAAAAGCTGATGCCCCTACCCTGACCCTGAATCTGATACCCCTCTAGGAATTCTCACCTCGAGGGAAAACTAGCCTCCCCTCCCCTACCCTCTCCTCCCCAAATCTGTTAGCAATGACCCACCACACCAAATCTCCATAACCACTTCCCTATAAGGGCCTTGTTGAATGGCATTACTCTCGAATACCCAAACCAACAGATTAAATTGACCTACAAACCTACTCCCAACAAACAAGATGGTATTTAAATTCATCCCCCATGCCACCCTATAAAAAATTCCTTAGCTATTAAGCCACAGAAACAAGGATTTGAACAAGAGGAGGAAATAAGTGGGAAGACTCGACAAAGTACTCTTCATAAGGGTAACTCTACCGCCCATAGAAAGATACTGCTACTTTCACCTCGCGAGCCTCCACTCAAACCTCTCAATCACCGGGTACCATCCGCCAACTCTCCTCGAAGGTGCCCCCAAGGGCAATCCCAAGTATGAAATAGGGAAGGATCCAACTCTAAACCCACAGACATCCGCAAGAATTGAGATCTCCGCAACCTTCCCTATCAGAACAACAGACTCTTCGCTTTTCCTCACATTGATTTTCAAGCCAGAGTTTACCTGAAACCAAATTAGAACACACCTCAAATATCTCATATGAGAGACGTCTGCATCACAAAAAACAAATGTGCTGTCAGCAAATAGAAGAAGGGAGATCTCCAACTAGCTAGGAAGCACGGACACTCCAAAATGGACGAAGAATCCGTGTCTGACACGTGTCGGATACCGACACGTGTCGGACACGCCCCGACACGTGTCGGACATGCCAAAAAACGTGTCCAGAATTTTTTTATTTTTTTTAATTTTCGGACACGGCTCGGACACGGCTCAAACAGCTTGGACACGGCTCAGACAACTCGGACACACTTTTCTGGAATTTTTTTTTTATTTTTTTTATTTTTAATGCTGATATGTTATTTTTTATTTTTTATTTTTAAATTTTTAATGCTGATATGTTCTATTTTTTGTTTTGTACTACCCTAAAGATGCTGATATATATATATACTAACCTAAAGATGCCACAATTCGCCGTGTCCGTGTCCTAAAGATGCTGATATATATATATACTAACATATTAGTGATATATATATATTCCAACCTAAACATATCAGTGTTTTTTTTTTTAAATTATTAATGCTGATATACATATATATACACTATTCGCCATGTCCATGTCCTAATTTTTTTGGATTTGCCGTGTCGCCGTGTCCGTGTCGTGTCGTATCCGTGTCCCGTATCCGTGTCCGTGCTTCTTAGCCAACTAGCTAGCAAGATTTCTACCCACCCTGAAGTCTGCAATAAAGCCCAGTTATGTGCTCTTCACATCAATCTACTCAGAGTTTCCATCATAATAATGAGTAAGAAGGGAGAGAGAGGATCCCCTATCTCAAGCCCCTCAAACTGCAAAAGGACTCAGTTAGAGACCCGTTAACTAGGACTGAGAACGTCACTAAAGAGATGCAAAACTCAATCCACTTCCTCCACTTCTCCCAAAACCCCATCCTCTCCAACAAACAAAGCAAGAAGCTCTAGCTCACACGGTCATAAGCCTTCTCAAAGTCAAGCTTACGAATCAATCCTGGAACCCCACTGCTCAGTCTAGAATCCACACACTCACTAGCAAAAAGGGCGGAATCCAAGATCTGCCAGCCACCAACAAATGCGTTTTGGGAATCCAAAATGAGACAATCCAAAACTGGACAAGCAAGTTACTCTTGCTCTTACCTATTTTGGAACAAGAAAAAATGTATGCCAATCAAAGAAAACAAATGGTACTTCGAGGGAACCTAAGACCTCCGGTGCATACACATTAGTGTAGATATAAACCAGCCGCCTTTTCTTTGTTCAATCATGTACTTAAATAACGACTCATACAACGTGAAATCCCAAAATGATAGGAAGACTCATAACAACTCAAAACAGATAAATCCCAAAAACTTAAAAAGACTCTAACAAGATAGAACTCATATCAACTAATCTTATCTTAACAACCCAACAAACTTGACCCTCTAATCCCCCCCCACACCCCCCCCCCCCCCCCCCCCCCCCGCCCCCCCCTCTCCTCCCCTCTTTCCTTCCTTCTTCCTTCTTGGGGATGAGGGCAATAAAAGAGCCATTCAAGCATTTCTCGAATCTCCCCAGCAAAAAATAAGTGTTCTTGGGGATGAGGGCAATAAAAGAGCCATTCAAGCATTTCTCGAATCTCCCCTGCAAAAAATAAGTGTGACAGGCACTCATCACTTCCTCTCCTACCACAACCCAACTCTCCAGGAGGACTCTTATGGTAAATCCATCCAGTCCCGGAGTTTTGTCCCATAACAACTCTTCACTGCTGCCAAAACTTCCTCCACACAAAAAGGCCTCTCAATCCAATCACTATCCTAGATAGTGTCAAAATGCAGCCCCCACGCGGAGGTTGCCGTTTGTCACTCCCTGAGAACAACCCATGGTAGTAGGAAGCAATCCCTCTACACACCTCCTCCTCCATATAAAGCACCTCCCCAACAATCTGAATCCTCCCAATATAATTGCCCCTAAGTTGAGCTTTGGCAAGTCTATGGAAGAACCGCATGTTTTTCTCACCCTCCTTGAGCCATAAAGCCCGAGAGTTCTGGCGTCACAAAATCTCCTCCGAAATGGCAATCTCTGCCTAACATTCCTCTCTGTTTCACGTCATCATCTCCTCCAACTCTCCAAGGCCCTCTAAACAATCAATCTCGGCAATCTCAGCCAAAGCCCTGTTCTTCCTCCATTCTAGATTTTCATAAACCTCCTTATTCCACCTCTTAATGTCTTCCTTGAAGGAGCGGAGTTTTCCAACAAGAACGAAGCTTGGAGAAACCCTCACTCTGTATCCTCTCACCAACTTCTCACCTTTTCCTTGAATCTCTCTGCTTGAAGCCACATGTTCTCAAATCGAAAGAGAGAACTCCTCCGCCGAATGCACCCACAATCCAACACCAATAAGATGTGATCTGAAGTTGGTCTAGCCAAAGCCCTTTGAGTCACATCTGGATATTTCTCCCAATCTCCGAAAAGGAGGAATCTATCTAACCAAGAGAGGGTAGGAAACAGTCTGCCACTGGACCAAGTGAACAACGCCCACTTCAGCGGTCTGCCCCCCCCCCAACTTCTCCATTCGGAACTAGATCACATTGAAATCCCCACCAAGACACCATGGAAACAGCCATCTCCTCCGAACCAAACAAAGCTCCTCCCACAACAAGTGCTGCTCACCGTCCTCAAAGCGGTCATAAACACCCAAGAACACCCAATGGAAACCATCCTCCTCCATAGCAAAACAACAAGAGACACAAAATCTCCCTGCCAACACATACACCTTGGACACCCACCTCATGCCCACATCAAAAGAACGCCTCTTGAGAAACCCACGGCATCCGACTAGACAAATCTCCCACCCCACAAATGGATCATCATTCAGCCCTCACCCACATCAGAATCGGCTTCCGATCGTCTACTACAACAAACCGATGGAGATCCATGACCCTCAGTAAGCCCATCCCATTCCGTTGGCAGCCCAAAATCCATCCCCATAAACTGCTCCTTCAAAGCCTTATGCTTCTGTAACTCAGCAAGACAGTAGCCGACTCGTCAGTCAAGCAAACTCGAATTTCCTTCCCCACGCAAACAACTACCTTGTTGTCCTCATTGGAGAAATGCTGAATCTCAGTCAGAGCACATTGTTCCATTTTTGGCATATTGTTGTTGTCATCCCTAACATCTTCCTTCACCAAGCAGAATTCAGAATCGTCATCTACCATCGGCGATAGCCTGCCCCTCCACTCCCCATGACCAACATCATGGATCTTGTCAAGGCCTCCATGTCCTTTCTCACCAATCCACCAGAAAAAGAGAAAGAAAAAGGCGAAAGGATTACAAACCCCACCCTTTTTGAAGTCGAATTTTGTGCACAACCCACCCTCTGTGAGAACGAAGATGTACAAGTCTTCTCTGGGCTTTTGAATCTTTTGTCTTGGGACCAACTTTTGTTTTGCAGCTCTGGACCATTTCTTCATGCTGGGACGACTTTGGGCTCATCATCTAAAACCCACTTTTTCTTCTTTCAGGCCTGCCTTTAAACAAGGCCTTCTCCTTACGGTCACCCACCCCCATTCCACCTTGGCCAAAGAAGTCACGACCCTCTCGTCCCGTAATCGAGTCCACCTTCTCTGCATGATTTAAAGGGGCCAAATTTGTTACTTAAAACAAGTCCATGTTGATTCATAAACTTGGACTTCAAATGCTGGCGCACTCCTCCCGAACCTGATCCACATTCTCTGCATGACTTAGACCATCATAAAGGGAAATTTGTTAGTTACACCAAGGCCAGGCTGATTCAAAAAATTAGGCTTCAAATGTTGACCATTGCAGAGAACCCTTCCCCAAAAAAAAAAAAAAAAAAAAAAACGTGACTTAGCAGCTGTCTTCCATTCGATGCTAACACCCTTTTTCCTGCATAACATGCGACTCCACATGCTCTCCCCTTTGCACAAGCGTGAACTGCGTGTAACCCTTTTTGAAGTCGAATTTTCTGCACAACCCACCCTCTGTGAGAACGAAGATGTACAAGTCTTCTCTTGGCTTTTGAAATCTTTTGTCTTGGGACCCACTTTTGTTTTGCAGCTCTGGACCATTTCTTCATGCTGGGACGACTTTGGGCTTGTCATCTAAAACCCACTTTTTCTTCTCCCCTATTTCTTTCAAGCCTGCCTTTAAACAAGGCCTTCTCCTTACGGTCAACCACCCCCACTCCACCTTGGGCCAAATAACTCACAACCCACTCGTCCCGTAACCAATCCCACCTTCTCTGCATGATTTAAAGGGGCCAAATTTGTTACTTCAAACAAGTCCATGTTGATTCATAAACTTGGACTTCAAATGCTAGCGCACTCCTCCCGAACCTGAATCCACATTCTGTGCATGACTTAGATCATCATAAAGGGAAATCTGTTACTTACATCAAGGCCAGGCTGATTCAAAAAATTGGGCTTCAAATGCTGGTCGATGTATGTCCTTAACCCACCATAGCAGAGAATCGTTCTCGAATCATCAACAGTTCCCCCCCCCCCCCCCCCCCCCCACCCCCCCAAAAACGTGACTGATCAGCTGTCTTCCATTCGATGCTAACACCCTTTTCCTGCATGGCATGTGACTCCACATGTTCTCCCCTTCGCACAAGCGTGAACTGCGTGTGAGATCCACTTCTACTTCCTTCTCTTGCCATAACGCTCGCCTGTGAGAAAAGAGAAGAACCAGAGCCAAAGTCCTCACAATCGCTTGCCTTTCTCAGCTTAATCCCCCTACGTTGCATTCTCAACCTGTCATCCTCCTTAATAAAGGTGTTCTCGTCTTTGCCATTGAGGTTCACCGTCTTTGGAACAAGCTCCGGTAGCTTCTCCCCCAACAAGAAGACCCTAAAGCACAACCTCTCATCGTTGACGAGAATTGACATTGGGATCCCTCCCCCTTCAATCAATGTGATTACAACTTTAATTGCATCAACTCTTTCATCAGCCTCAACTTTAACAACCGCCTCCACAAGTGTTTCGGAAGGTGATGAACAAGACACTGCACCACAAATACAGGGGCAAGGCATGCAACACCACCCTCCTCTCCTTTCTATCCTCCATATCCCCAAACATCCTACTCTGAACGACCACTCATCCAACCGCAGCTCAGTATCACCCCAAGTCCTCTTTCCAATCAACAAAACCCTAAAAGCTTCCGCAGATGAAGGACAGCGAAACAGAAGCAAAGTATCTGGTAAAGGAGACACAGAAACTCCTGTCAACACATTCCAAGCCCTAGCGGCCCAGTTCTCAACCTTCGTACAGTCACCGACCTCCAGACAAATTTTCCGAGCAAGCAACTCTGTAAATCTTCAAACCTTTTCCAAGTTCCTTGGTCATCCAGAAAGAAGCCAATGCCTCTTCTCAAAACAGAGGATTTCAATTTTCCATTGCGTGGAATGCTAGCTATCCTTGCAACTTCTGCAAACCACTTGTGGGCATGATCCCTCAAAAAAATGATGATCTAGACCAAATCATCTATGAAAGCGTAAGCAAATAACAGAAACGAAAAAAATCAGATTAGGTGCTGGAGTAGAAGACTCCGATGTCAATAGCGAGGAGAGCGACGAAAATTAAAAAAAAAAATTGGAAAAGAGGACAAAAATGTATCCCTCAACCTTGTCTCAATAACTAAACATTACCACCCACCCTCTTTCTCGCTCCCCCCACCCTCCAACACTTGAGAATCAATCATTTACGGCTTTACCATTAAGAAACATTAAATCAATTCTCCAGATTTATAAGGAGGTGAAAAATACTCTAGAACATATTTATTCTCATAAGGTTTCTAAAAAGAGATATTGATTGATTTTCTTATTCCTCATTACTGCATCAGGTGTAACATTATAGGTTAGCATGGTTCAAAAATTCAAACGTTTTCATTAACAGTAGTATCTAAACTAAGTGTAATCATTCTGCTGAAACCCTTCTTTAAAGTGGCTTCCAAATACACTGTTGCACTTACAGAATCATTTCCATTGAGATCAAAAAAGGCAGTGGGTCCCTTCTCATTTAGCATCGATGACATGCTTGTTAGCAATAATGAGCAATACTGTTGCCGAGTCCCAACTTTATCACTCCGAAGTAGAGCGAAGATTTTACGGATATCCTTTCCAGAAATACTATGTCCACCGGTGACCTGAATTAGTTGGGCAATTTTCAGGATTACATTATCATTATCTTCTTGAGAAAACCAATCAAGAAGAAAGTTAAGCATTCCTGCTCTGACACATGAAGCTCGATTAGATATGGAATCTCTGAGCAGCTGAAGAAAAACATTAAGCCCATAATGCCGCAAAGAGTCACTGCTCTGCCCAGTTATTAAATGGAAAAGTATTGAATCAGAATGATATCATATCAAATTGTTGAAGGAAATGAAATCAGCACTGTTTAACAAAGAAAGAAGGGTGGCCGCAGAAATGGAGGAACTGGAGAACCTCATATAATAATAACAATAAAAAGAAAAGACAAAATCACTAACCTTTTGCAGAACACTGAGATAAAGCAAGATCACATCTTCATTCTGAGAGAAAAGAAAACACGAAAACCAACTATATGAGAAGCGAACATTAGCAAACAATTATATAACCGTATTGCTGCATATTCAGCCTAAAAATAGAATTTAAAAAGATAAAAGAGGGCTTCAGCGGGCAAAGAACCTAAAGAGTGGATCACCCATTTTCTAGAAAAGGTTCGTATTGTCAATTCACCTTTATTACAGGGTTAGCTTTGATATCAAACTTTCCATCAACAAGCATATCAAGCAGAGCATTCAAAAGCCCTTCACTCGGCTGTTTATGACAAACGTCCAACAGCAAACTTTGCAACGTCTGATAACCCTTGCCTACAAGAGCTCTAAATGCAGCCTGCATTAAAGTAATCAATTTCCAGTTACAAATAATTAGAAGTTGATATAACTACCTTTTCAGTGAAAAAAATTTAATATAATTAATCAATTAAAAAAGTGAGATTTGCACGAAATCATCACAGTAAAGAAAAGGTAAAACCACATATATAGACCATGTGCATGCAACACACCTATCTACGCAACTACATGCAAGCCCACATACTCACACATGCCTTCTTGAGAATCACAGAACACATTCAGGAGAAAAGGTAGCCAACAAATATAAATTATCCACTGCACCGCTATGACAAGAATCATGATAGCAGATAAAAATTTGATGATAATAACAACTACTATATTACAATTCTTATAATATAATAATAAATATATAAATAAATTTTACAAGAGATCATTTGCGGATCAGAAAACACCACCTATGCAAGATGATCCAAGAAACTCACCTTGGATTGAAATGAATCTATTTATGACAGAGAGAAACAGAAAAATTACCTATATATACATAAAAATAACAGCAATTGATACAAAAAAATTCAATGTAGAAGGCAAAAAGAAAAACAAATAACAACAAAGAAAGAGGGAGAACAAGAAAGAAAGAAAAGATTGAATGAATGGACAAAAAAAGTCTACCAAACCAGATTAAAAGTTTATTACATTACAATTGAATCAATTCAAACTAAAACTGAAGCCCAACCCACCTCGCACTTACAAAAGCTTGAATTACAAAGCAAAATATAATGAAAAGTAAACCCTCGCTTAGGGTGACACAACATTGACTATGCAACACTAACCCTATTTGAGAAACTCAACGGCATCCAACGACCCCAACTACAACGGATAGCTACATAAGCCTGTTTTTCTTTCAGACCTATTGGTAACATATCAGCAATAAACTCAAAAGGTTTGCCAATCTCTCCTTGCAGCCTGAATTTCCATATTTGACCATCCACTCAAGTAATAACAAAAGCAATTTGTGCCAAATATTATTTGTAGCCAGTGGCCATCAGTGTTTATAGTAAATAAACGAACCACCATACCTGAATCTCTCAGCTTTTGTCCTTGATTGGTTTTACCTCTAAATAATGCATTCCATATATTACGTTCCATGTCTCAACACATTTCAGAGTGTCAAAATCATTAGGTCAACTAAGACTCTTGTGGGTTCAAAGTGATGGTCAGAACAATATTATTCAAGACACCATGAAAGTTCCATAATGTGGGTTTGATATGATGATCAGAGTGGTGTAGGAATTCCTCAATATGTGATAACAATCCAAAGTGGCCCAAGGCAAGCTCAAGGGATAGGGAAAGAACAGTAGTATGATAATGATCAGTGGTTCCTTGAGGTCAAACCACTATAGGGAGGTAGGTGAAAGCTGTAACGACCCGAACCCGGAGGCCCGAACCGTTAGCCGGGTTCTTACTCGAACCCGAGGTCACCTAGGTCAAACCCATCATTTCACGTATCAAAACATGCTCATTCAGATCAAAAATTAAGCTTTCCCAAGGTTCTAGGTAATTCTCCCGAGTCAAGAGTGGATTACAAAGGAAGAAGGAACAAAGAAGACCAAACAGGTACACACTTCGGTCGGCCGAAGCAGACCTCCAAGAACCGGTAGACCGATACTCTACTTCGGTCGACCGAAGTTGAGATACTGAGAGAAAGAAGATGGTTCGGTCGACCGAACCCTATTTCGGTCGACCGAAACAGGAGATCCCGAGAGCTGCAATTGGTTCGGTCAACCGAAGAGCCATTTTGGTCGACCGAAATGACTCCTTCGAGCCCTGCATCCTGAAACTGAAGTGCTGCACTTTGGGAATGAAAGGGGGGCTAAAAAGGAGACTTTGCAATGGTTCATACTTGAACCAACCCATCAAAATGAGACATTCTACTATCATGAACATGAGTACTAACACACAATCATCTTACAAGATCATTCATTACAATTATATGGCGTTAAACATAATGCTTACATTAGTTCCATTTACATCAAATAAAAGCTAATTCTCATACTTAAGTTACAAGGCCATGAATAATAACATTTGTTACATTTCCAAAACAAAAGACATACAAAAGAATGGCCTAAGTTCAAAATAACAAAGTGGTCTTCTAACAACTTTCAAGCTTGCGGTGGATTATCATCCGCCAATTCCTTTCCATGACCTGAAAAATGATAAGTATAGTGGGGTGAGCAAAAGCTCAGCAGGTGGCACTTAAGACAAGCTTCTTGTGTCCCCGTGAATCCAACCAATGAATAGAACAATAGGATTCGGGGTCATACTATGTCAGGGAAGCTCAACATAACAGTTAATCTCAATATAAATAATGACATGCCATGGAATGCAATGTATGCCGATGTCACTCCCATTTTCAACATTCAAAACCATCACTTTCAAACGGTTAATATAACCAGCCCTTTGGTGACCCCGCACGACACGAGAGAAGGATTGGCTAGTGTCCCTGACCCTTAGTACCCCCACGGCGTCATTTTGGTCCAGCTAGCTCAACCACGCTAGGGCATTCTCCCTAATTCCCTCTAGGCTATATTAACCCTTCAGCCATTTGGTACCCCCGCGGCGACCGGGTTTTCATAAAACCATTTCATCAAAACACTTTCCCAAAATTCCCCATTTTCATTTCAAAACAATTCTCCCCATTTTCATGCCCAATGCTAATGCATGGAAGCATCAACGTCATGTCCACATTCATAATTCCACATCTAGCTCCAGATTAACTAGCAAAGTATAACTCACAAGAATTTGCAAGAAAATTATAACATGCTTTCATACCATAAAAGTCTAGCTTGTTAGGCATATAAAGAATCAACACAGAGGCATGCTCTTCACATAAAACATTTAATACCCACAATTACACAATTAGCAAATACACACACATCAACTAAACAATTAGCTAGATACTACCCAAATTAAGCATGCTAAATAACCATTTATAAGGAGTTAACTCACAAAAGCACAAGAACTTCATGGATTAAGGACCCCTACCTTGATTTGGTGCAAAACCCTCAAATGGGTCAAGAAATTCGAAATCCCTAGGGAGGCTCAAAGCTGAAATTGATCGTACTCGCGCGTAGAGCTCGTCGTGCTCTCCGTTTTGCCTCAAACGGCACTCAAAATCACCAAGTATTGAGAGAAATATCTTGCTTCAAAGTTTGATGCAAGATAAAAGGAAAATGAAGAGGAAAAGAGGGCAAGAGAGAAAACCAGCGGGGAGAGAGAATTTTTGTGAGGCTTTGGGTGGTCTCTAGACCACTAAGTATGTGGGTGGTGGGTCCTGCCACCACTTTTGACTTTTCCTACTTCATTCAACTTTAATTTGCACCACATAAAAAATACATGCACCACCAAGTAAATGCCACTTAATTCACATAAATTAAAATATGTGAAATGCAGATGGACCCAACTAAAATCCCCGTGCACAACGATACCGGTAGCAGGTCCCACACGGGACCGTCCAGTCCGAAAAACAGAAAAAATGTGAAAATGACAAACCTTGCATTCCAAAGAGTCCTGGACTCAATGAAATGTCCCAACCAACTCACTGACACACCCGGCACACCCCGCGGTGTCTGGTGCGTAAAACGTGAAATGACGAAAGTGCCCTTGCACCAACAAAATTCCAGAAAAATGAAAAAAGCAAAAAATTGGAAACATCACAAAAGCATTGGCAAAAAGATAAACAAGATCATTTTTACATGTGATGTAGGACTAAGATTTTTTTTTTTTTGATAAATAAAATTTTATAAAAGCGCCCAAAAGGGGAGCGGAACACAAGGGAAATACAAAAGACCACAAAGAGCCTCTAAGCCTTCAGAGAGGCCAAAAAATCAACAATCTCCTCTAAAGATCTATGATCTCTCCCTGATACCCAACAAAAAAGAGTGGAAAAAATCGAGAATTTAAGCACCGAAATTGACATCTCCTTCCCTTCAAAATTCTCCTATTCCTTTCAAGCCAAATACACCACCACACACAGAGTGGCGTAGCCCTCCACGCATCCTGAATGTGAGCCCCCACAGGACAACCTCTCCACGCCTCAATCAACCCTCTAGCGGATCCCGGCATAACCCAAAGAAGCCCAAATAAGCCAATCATCAAATCCCAGCACTCTCTAGCCATCGTGCAATGAATGAGAAGGTGATCCACTGTTTCCTCATCACGAAGACACATATAGCAACGATTGACCATCATCTGGTTTCTCCTTCTCAGGTTATCCTAGGTTGAGATCCTTCCCAAAACTGAGGTCCACGCAAAAAAAGCAACCTTGAGAGGAGCATTGGAGCGCCAAACAGACTTCAAAGGAAAGCGAACTCCAAGATCAACCGAGAGACACCTAAAGAAAGACCTCACCTCAAAATGCCCCTGAGAGTTTGCAACCCAAGACCAACAATCCGAATCCTCAACCACAATCCTCTGGCGATACAACTCCAAGAAACGAATAGCCTCCTCGATCTCCCAGTCCTGAAACAAACACCTGAATCAAACATCCCATACCAGTCTCCCACTATCAAGGTGATAACAATTGACCACCATGGCCTGCCTATCCGAAGCAATCCTATAAAGCTGAGGAAAAGCGAGAGCAAGAGGAACATCTCCACACCAAACATCCTCCCAAAAACCAATCCTCCTCCCATCCCTAAGTCGAAACCGAATGTGTTTGGAGAAGTCATCCCATCCCTTCCGAATAAAATTTCAAACCCCTACCCCCCGAGGACCCCTCGCTTCCAAAGAACTCCAACCTCCACTCAACTCCCTGAATTGACAAACCACAACCCTCCTCCAAAGCCAGTGTCTTATTAAAAGGCACCAATCCACGGAGACCCAAACCACCATTCCAAATTGGCGTGCAAACCTGCTCCCAACGCACCAGATGAAACTTGAACTCTTCTCCTCTACCCCCCCACAGAAAATTACGCTGCAACCTCTCAATCCTCTCCGCAACTGAAGAGGAAATCTGAAAAAGAGAGATACTGGGAAGGCATG